GTGTGTATCTGTGTGTGTATAAGAATATAGTATGAAATATAAATTCTTAACAACTCTTTTATTTCCAAAATACTTTACTAGTGGTGGGCACTATGTGGTACAGTGTATCTCTAGAATTTGCTTATCGTACACAACTGAAACCTTATGCTCACTTAACAAGAACTCATCAACCTACCTCCTTGTTCTTCTAAACATATTCCTATGGCATATTCTCTTCTAGGACTCCTTGTTTGTTTTGTGATGTGATATATTTCACTAGCTATTTCTGCTTTTTAAATTTCTTGGCCAGGCTACTACAATCTTTCTTTTCTTTTCCTGTTTGCAGAAGCCAGCCCCTCACAGATTCCAATCAGCCTTATTTTTATTTATTCCACTTTATGAGAACTTTCAGATGCAGGTTTTTCTTGTGATCTCCTGACTCTCATTCATGTCCCTGGCCAAGGTGATGGAACAAATCTCATGAGTCCCCTCCCTCTCTCTTTTTCCACACCTCTCATTATTAAATCTTTCTTCCAGCTGCTCCCTCAGTTCCTTGCAGAAGTTTAGCTCTTAGCTTTCTTCTCTCTTCTCATACACTTGCCCTTGGCACTCAGCAATCACACTGAAAGATCCAGAATATCACCTGTGCATGGGCAACCTCAGTCTAGCCTTTGACATTAGCCTACTGTATGAGTTCTTTTTCAGCTTTTTGGTGTCTAATTAAGCTTTTACATGTAGTGTTGTTCTTCTGCTTCAAATTTAGGACATCCAAAATTTAGTTCTCTTCCTATACAGCCATATTTCATGCTCATATTTTGACAAAATGTCATAGATTTTAGCTACCTGGGACATTGAATTAGAGATTCAGAAGTGACTGAACTATGAGTTATAGATTATATTTTTCATCTTTCCAGTTCTGTTTCCTTTCTCTATTCTCAGTATTAAGATCCAGCAATCATTTCTACAGTCACCAAGAGTCTGCCTGACAGTTACAATACCTGCAGTATACACTTCAATATGACTGCTGGCATAAAAATGGATCATAACACAACAGCACAGCAGGAATCAGCCTGTGCACAAAAAAAAAAAGACCACCTCATGTTTGTTTGATTTTACTGCATCAAATCATTTCACTTTAATTTAAATTTCAGGGTCAACAGACATGCAACTTTGTAGATATTTAATTAGGGTTAGATGTGTACTGACTATTTAATTAGGATTAAGCAAGTCCTGCTGCCAAGACAGGGAAGACATGGCCTGCATTTTCCAAAAGAACATGAAAACTCAGCAGCAACATCCACTTACTGGAACATCAACAGTTGGAGCTCACCATTTGGTATAAAGTGGTTTTTGCTTTAAAATTGGAAGACTTCATCTTCATGCTGTTTCTCCCTTTGGAGTAGGACTAGAGCAATAAACACCTGCTGGGCATCTAGAGGTTTGCCAGACTCATCTTACAAAGCAAATGGAGAATGAAGACAGCCCAGATTGCTTCTTCTGGCAGGAACACTGCGGCCGTGCTCCCACGTGATCTGCCTATTCCGGTAGCCACAAAGACACAGCTATACTATACTGAAAAATTATCTCTCACAAGTCAAAACACAGGATGCATTATTTATACATTGGTTTTCTTTTTTGGCCCCTTTTTATTGTCGGTTGTATTTTAGAGTGAATTTTCAGTCATGTTAATGGATCAGAGAGCCAAACCGAAAGGCAATTAACAGTAAGCGATGGATATGTGTGCACGTTGTGTGAACAGTGGAGGCAGACAGATCTAAAAGCTGTATCACTGTTGGTAGAACACACCACCAACAGCACCAAGTTACTTTATTTTTTTCATGTTGCTCATTCACATAGGTTGTTCTCCATCTTGCTGACCTGGGTTTCTTGGTCCATGCTAGTAAGCATGGACCATAATTCATCATCTGTCTTTTGAATGTCACACTCCTAACTTCTCTCCTGGTTGTTTCTTCCTTTGGTTTTTACATCTGTGGTGTTAGGTACCCTGGGCACACTTCCTTGCATCAGGACCCTGTTCTGCTCTGACATTATCCATTCTATGTGGTCCTTTATGGGCAGGGGAATCAGACACGTGACTTAGTGCAAGGATGCCTTCCTGCATCTGCTCTCCATATTTGTATACTGCAGAGGAAAACTATTGTGTCACTTTTTCTATTGGACATCTTCCAGGGACGCTTAACTGTCCTTAGGATAAAACACATGCTTCTCAGCATGGAATTCAAGTGGATTTACATGATCCAGTCTTTGACTTTGGTCACTTTTTCATGGATAGCTTAGGTTCCTATAGAACAGGATTCCTCACAAAAGTCAAACAATTGGTGTTCCTTCAGGTTCTGCAGTATTTGTCTACAGAGTGTTATCTGTCTAGTTCAGGACTGAGCTCCTCATGAACCCTCTTTGACACACAGGTATTGTTTTCCATACTTACATTCACATAGGTATAAATCACACATGAGTACATGTACACACACACACACACACACACGCTCCCAAGTTTGGGGCTTGTTCTTTATCTTAAAGTTGATTTCCATAACTAGTGGAAGCTTTCCAGCATTGAAGAGTTAGGCCAGTCTTAAAGAGACACAGAGTGGTCTCACTCGTGTAATCCTAGACTTTGGACATCTGAGGCAGGAAGATTTCCATGAGTTTGTGGATGGATTAGATTAGAGAGATAGAACTTATCTAAAAAAACAAAGCCATACCAAATGACAATACCAAAAGGGAAAGTAATAAATAGAAGATAAAGATGAGTATAAAATATACCTATAGCCATCAAATGATGGATATCAAACAGATATAAAAATTGACTGATTGAACAATTGGTTGACGCTAAAATGTTTTAAATATATGTGTGGTAATTGATATTGATTGACAGACTGATGAGATTTAGAGTCACCATGGGAACAGACCACTGGCAGGTCTCTAAGGAATTTTCTACATTAATATTGAGGTGGAAAGACCTACTCTTAATGTGGCACTGTTTCCTAGACTTATGTCCCAGACTGAATAAAGAAAGAAGGGAGCTGAGCTCCCCTACTCCTTATTATCTCCTTCCTGACTGTGAGCAAAATGTGACCAGCAGACTCAAGCTCCTGATCCATGACTCCTTGCCCTGATGGACTGTGCTTCTTCACATTTTGAGCCAAAATCCCTCTTTCTTTGGAAAAAAGCTGTTTTTGTTCACAGAAGTGAGGAATTCAACTAACATAATATGCATATTTAAATTAAATATGTTTTAAATATATTTCTTTATGTTTTGGCTGATCATAAAAGAAGGGTTGGGGACTTTATTCTCATGGCAGTGAGGTGTTGGAGACTATGAGTAACCGCATCTGCATCGGGATATTCTTGGTTCTGATGGTCTGCTTATCCATAAACTGGTGGTTTAATATCTTCAAGAGCTGCCTTAGACCTTTGTAGTCAGAAGAGGAGGCTGAATTGAGAACAAAATAAAAAGGGAAACCTCAAAATACTAGGCCTAGGGAAATATTTACAAAAAAAGGATTGTAAATAAAATTGACAACCACCCACTGATACAGAGAGAAGACAGATGTGTGCAAGTGTAACCACTAGCAAAGGTAATCTTTTTTTCGAATGCAAATCCCTAGCCTGCGTTTCATGTGAATCAGGATTCCAAAAAGGAAAAAAAAATCTAATCTTCTCTCTAAGCCTGGAATCTTAATAGAAAGAAGTTTGATTAAAAGTGAACCCACCAGGGTAGCACGCACCAGGTGCTCTGAAAAGCAAATATAAGACAGCTTCAGAGACGCACACCCTCAGTGTGATCTCATCCGCCGAAATGTTCTGGGAAGCATACAAAACAGACTAGGCCCAAAGAATGAAGCATAATACCAGTGATTTGTTGAAATTATAAGAAAACAATAGGACACTGTTAAAAAATGGCACATATTAAAAACAATGAAGATTGAGAGATGGCTCAGGGTAAGAGTCCATGTAGAAGCTGAATGCAGTAGTGAGAGTGTTTGTAATACCAGCACTCCTACAGGGAGATGGGGCAGGTCAGAGACAGGAGGATCCCCAACGATTAAAGGACAGCTCCCCAATGAATGCTGCACTCAAACAAGAAAGAGATGATGTCTCCAAAAAGGCGGAAGACAAATGCTCATCCCAAGGTTATCCTCTGACCACTGCGAGTAATTCAGTGGCATGCATTTACTTGAGTCTCTTTTCTCTCAAAAAGAATAGAAATTAGATTTTGTTAAAATAAAAAGTAAATGGATGCCCTCAAAAAGAACAAGATACAAATAAACAAAGGACCATAAATAGATAGGTTGGAAAAAGATTTCCCAGAATATAGCATTGAGAACTATAAAACACAAAGGATAAATTAAAAGCCATGGGGGTTAGAAGAAGAGCGCTGTGCAGTGGATATTTGAGAAGGAAGCAGCTGAGAGAAAAGGAGAGAAACCATATTTGTTAAGGTATTGGCTGAGAACGTCGAAATTGGGTAAAAATCAGAAATCCCTAAGGAAATATTATGAGCCACAAGCAGGCTAATAAAATGGCACATATAAAACTGAAGAATACCGTTTCACAACCCCAAAAAGAAAGATAAGAAGGACTTGAGGACAGTAGAAATAAATGGTCGATTGCCTTAAGGACAACCTCTGCTGGCGCGTGCCCCCAAAACTAGTAAGGAGCCTAGTTGATTGTTTTCCTGTCTGTCCGCAAAATCCTAAGGGAAATGAACTTAAACAAGTGGTTCAAGTTAACATCTGTGGAAGGGGACTGAAAACCACATTTTTACATATATTGATGTGTAAATGCTCCCAAGGATGCAAGAAAGGCATCAAGAAGAGCAGACAGCAAGTGGTGATTAGATGCAGACGAGAAAACCAGTGCGACAACTATATCAAAAAACCAAAAATCCAAAACCAAAACCAAAACAAGCAATCAAAGAAATCAAACCAAAGCCAAAACCTGAAAATGGATCAAAAAAGCCCCATAGATGATTCAAACCAAAGCCCTCAGTTGCTTACCTTTGCTGCTTCCTGCCTTGAATGTTGTCATGGGGTCACACAATGCCCGAACCACAGCAGTCAGTCTGGAGCCAGGAAAGCACATCTGAGAAGGAAAACTGTGGGGGATGGAGGTTAGAAGTGAAGAAGAGCTTGGTCATTGTTGAGCCTCCCGATTAATTTGGAAACACCACTTCCAGAATTTTGTTCTATCAAATGGGTGTTTGCTCTGTTAAATCATTTACAGAGGTGTCTTCTATTACATGACACCTAAAGCATTTTCTGCCCCAGTGACAACCTAAAAAAAAAAAAAAACATTTATTTCCCAGAGAGAGGATGGTTGGTCCCAGATGAATGCACCAGCTATTCAGTAGAATTGTTAAAGTAACCAAAGCCAAATTCCCACCCTGGAGATCATGGTAGAGAGACGGTCACATTTATTAACTTGCAGCCTTTGGGGCTAAGATCAAGTGTGATGACACATTTACACTTAGAGCTGTGAGGATCGGCAGGGCCTTGAAGATGCTTGATGACAGATGTGAGATCTTAAAGGCAATATTTCAGAAATGTGAATTTTGTGTCATAGTGAAAGGGATTGCGCACCTTGGTTGCCTCTACCTGGCCTTATTTATAGCAGATTTTATTTTATTTGACCCTTAAAGCAAATCAGTAAACATTGGACATATGTTATGGGTGAAAAAAGTCAAGGCTCGTGTAATTTACTGATTTTTCTCAGGGTAAGACAAAGCAGGTTTGTTTAACTGGAGGCCAGGCTCTTTCTCACAACACTGTCCCTCATGTTTCCTTTGTTCTCTATATTCACTGGGGCAGCATAGAGTGATGCTGAGCGGGGCAGCAGTTGTCAAGGATGAAAGCAGTAAAGAGGATAAAGGATACAGTGTAAGGAGAAAGGGAAGGTTGAGGTGACAGGCCATTCAGAAAGGAAGGGCCAGACTAGGTGATTCTCAGAGCAAGAGTTAGGTGGTGATGACAGTGTTGCTTAGCTCTCTTTCCTTTTTAAAAAATTAAAATCAACTCTACAAAAAAAAAAATCTTGAGTTTATCCAGGACTTAATATATAACTATTTTCTTTCAATGCTTTTCCTTTTATTAAAAATAGATTTCTCCCCTTACATTATACATAATAACATAATAATATACATTATACATTATACATAATAACATGCTTCCCCCTCCTTCTGCTCCTCCTGGTTTCTCCCCACCTCCAGCCCCATCTGGATCCATCCCCATTCTATCTCTTATTAGACAAAAAATAAACTTCTAAGGTATATAGTCAGATACAATAAAACATAATAAAAATAAAACAAAAAAAACTAACTTATCAGACTAGGACCAAACAAACAAACAGAAGGAAAAGATCCCAAGGAAAGGCACAGGACACAGATAGAGATGAATGAGACCCACTCATTCACACACTCAGGAATCTCACAAAAACACTAAACTGGAAGCAATAATATACACACAGAGGGTAAAAATAAAGAAAAATATGTGTAAATAAAATACAATAAAACAAGATAAAATTAAAGTTAGAAATGGGGGAGAAACCCCGACATAACATTATAAGAAAAGAACCCTCCAAAGATCTGATTAAGTTAGCTTTCTGTCAGCTATCTACTGGTGGCATACAGCCTACCCTTAAGAATAGTTTGTTTACCCATGGAGACTCCCTTGTAAGTGTTTATCAGTTGGAGGTAACCTCTGGATTAGGGATGAGGGTGTATGTCCTCTTCTTTCAGCTCTAGCACCTCACCTGGGGCAGACCTGTGGAGTTCTGTACATGCTGTCTCGGTCTCTGTGAGCTCATATGTCCACCAGTCTTGTTGATTTCGAGGGTCTTATTTTTGTTGGTATCTTCCATCTGGCATGTACACTCTTCATTCCTCATCTTCTACAGGACTCCCTGAGCTCCAAGGGGGAGGGATTTGATGGAGACATCTCACTGATTTAGATGGTAATTGTACCTAAAATAGACTTTTGCTGCAACACTGATATTGGTCTTTGACCCAACAAACGGATACCATAGTCCAGCCAAGTAGACTGAAATGTTTATTCACCTCTTGCCTGAAAGGCAGCAACTAGCTGAGGATCTGACCTTAGGCAGAGGAGGATCAGATGTGAATGGGAAAGTGAGGTTGGGCACTGATGTGGATGTGTAGGGGATCATGCTTCTGACTGTGCTTAGTAACAGGAAAAGACTGAGGGTTAAATGGCTGTAGATATGTGGACAGAATTGGAGATGGGTCAGAGAACAGGTTTCCGAAAGCAAATGTCAGATTGCTGAGTAGAGCTAAGGGCTGTGATTACAGTCTTACGAGAGACGTCAAGGTCATTAATAAGTGCTTGTTGCATAGCTATTTCACATCATCTTAGATGGCCTCTCTCAGTGTTTGCACAGCGCTTCTCTAGTTGACGACCATGTACCCTGCTGTAATCTCTTTTTCAGTAGTGCTAACTGTGACATGCTTTGAGGAGAGCCCTGCTAATGTTCATCTTGAATGCATCGTTTCACATACAATCAAAGGTAACATTCTGCATGGTACACGGCTCACACGGTGAATCAACTTAAGGTGAAGAATGTTATTACTGAGATTGATTTCAGTGTTATTGCTGAGAACAATCTCAATGATAGATGTTATTAATAGGCATTCTCCCTACATGACTGCTGCATGGCCTGAGAATCACACAGTTGTGTGTGACTAGTTTGCAGGCTGGGCACCATGTCCCCATATATATGAACAGATGAAAGATTTGGTTTCTTGATTCTCGTTCTATAGCTCTGTTTATTAGCATGCCATATTAGCCCAAGAAAGTGGCTAGGAGGGTATTTATCTACAGCTTTAATTCATTTTTATTCTTTTCCCCTGGGTTATCTATCAAGCAGTATATGTTCATTTAAGGAATAAAAAGAATTAACAGATTCTTCAGAAATGTGGTCATAAGGCCTAATGGGAGGCAGGCCACTTAAATCCCTGCATAAATGGAGCATGTTTGCGCCTGCCAAACATGCTACCTGTTCCAGAAGGTCTGGTATGTTACACCTGTGTTTTGGTTCAGGATTTACTGCCAGACCATATGATATGGGCTTAACCCATAAGTGTTGGCTTAATGTCCTTTATCTTAAAAAATGTTTGCAATACTTATTTTACCTAGGACACAGGATTGGAAAGAGGATTAAATAAAATAATGTTATGTAATATAATCTTTAGATTATACAAATGCACATGTATTAGCTACGGTTCTACCCAGAAACAGAACAAACAGGATATACATAGAACTTACCCCCCCCTCTTTTTTTTTTCTCTTTCAGAGAGGTTTATTTTAAAGAACTGTTTCTCGTAATTATGTGGTCAACGAGGCTGAAATATACACAACAGACTGTCAGGAAATTCAAGGAGAAGTTGGAAATGTATGTAGAGTCTCACAGTGCAGTTTGGAAGTTTGAGCAGAGCTTCTGGGTCACAGACTTGAGGCAGAATCATTTCTTTTCGAGGGAACCTCAGACTTTTCTTGCAAGGTGAGACCTGCATGTAGTATGGGAATAGGGGATGGAAATTTAGTGGCTTAAATGACAATCACATCTTTTAAAAACCACCTTTGCAACAACACACAGACTAGTGTTTGACCAAATGAAGAGCACACTGCAGGTGCAATTGCCTAGTCAGGTCTATAAAATTAACTCTTAATTAACTCTTAGAACACAGCATGAACTTTAATATCTGGACTTGTTAGTTAGGGTGCCTGGATTTAACCCTACCTCTGCCCTTGGGGAACAAAGAGCCCTTGAGTAAGTACTGAACCCTCTCTGTGATCCAGCTTCCTCATCTTTCAGGTAATCTGCGCATTGTGTTCAGAATAAGACATGGCAGAATAAATGTTCAGTAAGAATGACTATCACTGGACCCACTAAGGACTATTCCTGTTATTTTGATTTATTATGGTGAGGATGGATATGCATGCCACCGCTCTTGTGTGGAAGTCAGAGGGCAACATGCAAGTGCCAATTCTCCCTTCCACCATGTGAGTCCTAAGGATCAAACTCAGGTCATAAACAGTGCAGATGACTGACCTTTCTAAGATGATAGTTCACCCTCACTACTTGGGTTTATGTTATTGCTTGACAAAGAACTGAAAAGTTAGCCATCTGTCTGTTACAAAGCCATGCTGGCCTCCAGCAAATATCTTAGTGGAGGGTGTGTAATATCATGTTGCGTTTTTCATTAAGTCATTGTTAGAGTCTCAGACGGTTGTAGTTTATTTCCCTGCATCTGAACATGTCAGCATTATTTAAAAGTTTATTAATACTCCAGTGATTTTGCCATTTCAAACTCTCACTGATTTTTTTTTTCTCTTAGAACAACTGTGTGGGTTTTCCTTTGGACACATAATTGCACATTTAATAAGTGCCCGATTCCATTAGCATAACTGCATGTGGGAGAAACTGTGGGTTCTTAGTGACTCCACATTAGTTCTTAGCAACATCACATTAGAGAATTAGATTAATTCTCTTTAGATTAGAATTAATTTGGCTTAGAAGATGAAAATAGGAATAAAAAAGAATTAAAAATTGTAAAGGTTAAATGACTGTGTATTGTTAAAGCTAATCTAATATTTTCCTGTTTTCATGACAAAATTTGAACATAGGTTTATTAAATCATGAATGAGTGAAAAGCCAGTGTCACTTGTACTAATACAGACAATATGGTTGTTTACTGGGGAGACTGTCACAGTGTGCAGATTCTGATTTGGGTTGAGGGATCCATTTCACATTGAGAAACTTCATTTCATTGGCTATTCGTACGATTTAGTTTTGAAGCAGAACTCTTAATTATCAAACTTAGAAATGACTGCAGAACATTTTAGAATACCCACTCATTAATTTTTCTCTGGGCTTTTTTCTATTAAAGGATTAATCTAAGTTTCAATTCTTCTGCTATCAAGAAGCCTTGGAAGTATTGGGAGGTGTCTAAAATATGTTTGGAAGGCCCACAGTTTGGATAAAGGGAACAAAAGTAATATATTAACTTTTCAATCAGAGGTTCATATTTTTAAAATAATTGCTTGCTTTCAACAATTCTTTTTCTTCCTTAATTTCAATTTGGATTACCCAAAGGATAAAATAAATTTTCATACTGGACTGTGAGGGGATTTAAGCATTCTTTGCAACTGTAAAAAATCTCTTCAGAGTCTTGAAGATTTGTTTTAAAGGGAGTATTTAGATGACAGCAAACTTATCTTTTAATAGTCGCTTCATATGTATTTTTAAAAAGAAATCTACTCTGCTTCTAGTTAATAATGTTTATCTTATAAATCTGTTTAGACTCTTCAAAGGGGAGAATTCATATTTGAGCACCAAGGTGATACCTTGCCATCACTTCTTTAAGAGTGTTTGGTATTCAACTGAAGAAGACATTAATCATTCCCATCGCAAACATTAACATTTCTAATTTTAAAAATTTCTTTCGGTGTTTGCAAAAAGATATTTGACTTTTTATGAGTGTCCAAAATTATCCGACACCCTGATTTTGGTTATGTAGAACACTGCATAAAGTCAAACCACCCATTGGGAGCATCTGCAGATAAGTAATCCATTGCTACAGACTGTCCTACACTTATTTTTTATGCATAAAGTATGTTTAATTTTACTCAAGTTCTGATGATTGCATATTGAAACTCTGTCATCAAATGTTTCAGCATCAATTAACAAAAACCTGATACAAGCTGAACTAACAAAAAGTAGTTTCACTCAGAAGTACCCATTAGATCAGCCCCACCATCACAGTGGGTGGGCACACCTCTCACGGCCCTGACTTCCTTGCTCATGTTCTCTCTCCTTCTGATCCTCATTTGGACCTTGGGAACTCAGTCCAGTGCTCCAATGTGGGTCTCCGTCTCTATCTCCATCAATCTCCAGATAAAGGTTCTATGGTGATATGCAAGATATTCATCAGAGTGGTGATGGAGGAAATGATGATCTGTCTATGTGTTGCTCTCATTGGTTAATAAAGAAACTGCCTTGGCTTTTTGATAGGGCAGGATTTAGATAGGTGGGTGGAGTAGACAGAATAGAATGCTGGGAAGAAGGGAAGTGAGCCATGAAGCTCCCACCCAAGATGGACACAGGCTAGAATCTTCCCGGTAAGCTACCACCTTGTGGTGCTACACAGATTACTAGATATGGGTTAAAGCAAGATATGAGAGTTAGCCAATAAGAGGCTAGAGCTAATGGGCCAGGCAGTGTTTAAATGAATACAATTTGTGTGTTATTATTTCTGGGGCATAAGCTAGCCAGGTGGCCGGGAGCCAGGCTGTGGGAAGCAGCTCGCCTCATCACTACAGAGTGGCTATAGTATAAGGCCAGCTGGATTGGGACTGATGGAGCATGTGATCAAACTGGACTCTCCAAACGTGGCTGACATGGAGGGCTGACTGAGAAGCCAAGGACAATGGCACTGGGTTTTGATTCTACTCCATGTACTGGCTTAGTGGGAACCTAGTCTGTTTGGATGCTCACCTTCCTAGACCTAGATGGAGGGGAGAGGACCTTGGACTTCCCACAGGGCAGGGAACCCTGACTGCTCTTTGGACAGGAGAGGGAGGGAAAGGGGAAATGGGGGGAGGGGAAGGGAAATGGGAGGAGGGGAAGAGGTGAAAATTTGTAATAATAATAATTATAAAAAGGAAAAAATAAAAAAAGAAGACGCTGCAGAAGTAAAATGCACTATTATCACAAAATAGCATTGCTGGGTATCTTAAAAACAACAGAAAATTAATTTTTGATGCTTTGAAAACTGAGAAGTCCAAGATGGAGATACCAACAGACTCAGTATCTTGGTACTTTCTCCTTGGTTCCCCAGGGCCTATACGGGGGGAACTCACTGGGATCTGGGTTCTCTTATCAATATTTTATTAATAATGCCATCACGAGGCTCTGCCCTCTTT